ATCGCAGAACAATTAAAGTAAAAAGTAAAATCAATACAAGTGTGGGGTCCTATTTTAGAAAAGACAAAAACTCTGTTGAACATGCCTTGGTTTACACCAAAATTACATTATTAGTAAATTCTGACATCGAGGTTTAAGCTCAATCTACATATATGCTTCAGCTGAGATTCGAACTCAGAACTCCTCTTGAAGTCTCTCATGTAAGAACAGACTAAGAGATGTTTTTTTCGAATTAAACTACAAAAGCTAATCAATTGGTAACCCAGGATGATGCAAATTAAAATGCCGTTAGTATTTGGAATGTTTCTGAAATGAACAATGAATTCTTTTACTTTTTTCTTAAAAAATCTTACATTCATAGTTATGATAATATCTATGTGGAGATCAAAAAATTTAATATAATTTTATCATACATAAGTACATGTATTATCATTGGATTTTAGCCTTGTTTCCCAAAGTCCAAAAAAAATCCATATCAAATTTATACTGTAGTCTATTTAACCTAGTTTTAGTCCCAAAAAAGTCAATTTCAGAAACACATATTGTACTTGAACTAAAAATGTTAAAACATTGGTGGTTTAAAATAAGGATGCCATTATATTATATAAAATACTGCATGTTTGTAACGTCGCTTTTCATTGGATAATCAAGACGTTTATATAGTTTTACATTACACAGCTGCTGTCAATTCATGAGATATTGCGCTTTAAAGTCCTCTCAAAATGATGATTGCTGTATTATAAATTTTGTTATAAAATATTTTTTGACAGGTTATATGGCCGTATATAATCGGTTGTTGGCAATATAACACTCGCCTAGCAGCTTTGGTTATATTTACAAGCTTTTATATAGGGCCATATAACTTGTCACTGAATTAAGTATATTCTGATTCTATTATCAAATAGGACTTCAAAACCTTATTGCAGTCATCTGTTTAGGTTTTATAGCTTTTATTCATGCAAGACATTTCAGTATTGTACTACTACGGATAACATAAAACAACCTCATAATTTTTCAGATATGAGAGCACAAGCTGTTAAATTCCAGTTTCTAAAAATTGACACAATTCTTATTGAATTCCATATTTTTTTTCTAGAATGAATCTGACAATCAATATTATGATAATATAGCAAGAGCTGCAATCGCTAAAGTTAGCAAGGGCTACATTTGACTTTTTCTTTTACCTAAAGTCAAACAAGTCAGACAAGGAATTATATTGTTGTATATTGTTTCCGAAAGTTTCTTTTTGTAGTAAATCTAAAACATATAAGGTAAGGGAAGGAAATAATATATCCTATACAAGAGCGAGAGAAATATTTTTGTATCATATTTCTCTTTTAGGGTTAGACACGTCGAAATTTGGTCTCCATTCATTAAGGTTTGGGGTAGCTACAGCTGCAGCTCTCAAAGGTGTGACAGATACGCTTATTAAGAAGCATGGTCGGTGTATGTTTTCTTTCAGTTCCTTAAGACAAACAAATTATTTATAATTAAACAATATTATAACCTTGTTTTAAAAAAAACAACAAACACTTCCACCATAAATTCACCTATTTGATCTTGAGTGTCAACAGCGGCAACAACAACATAACTGTAGCAATTAGTCTTTTATTCTCAAAAGTCAAGCTAAGGAATAAAATATTAAAAACATATCAGTTAAAAAAAAAATTTCAAACATAATAATTTTTGCATTATAATTGTAACCTAGAACTGCTTGCTTACTTTAAAGTAACAAAAGAACCTACACTGTTATTTTTTTGCTGTTTATTTGTGATTCACAAGAAAGAAAACACAGAAACTGATAAGTTGGTCATGAAAATAATTTGATATATGCTAATTTTATGTACCACACATTCAAATCTTTGTTTAGTGTTTAAAAAGAATGTATCTTTGTTTTTGTTACACAATTACCAACAACAAGTGCACATAACCAAGTATCAATAGGTCAATGTGACTGTGTACTGAAGTTATTGAAGCTGAAAATTTTTATTTTAAAGGGGAAGGACCTTTTACCTTTCAAAAAAAGCTCTAAACTCCCATTCACCATGATTGGGGTTTTAATAGGGCCCAAAACCCAAAATCCAATTTGAGCAGGAACGAATTTCTACCCTTTTAACCTTAAACCCTTTAATCACAGACCCCTAGGTTTGCAAAACCCCCGCGGCCCCCTTTTAATTTTTAAAAAAACCAACACACAAATTTTGGGATCAATTTGGGCAAAAAAACCCCAAGTTATTAGGGGAAAACCAAAAGTTACACCTGCCTACCCAAATTCAGCTTACAATTTCCCGTTTTTTGTTTTAAAGTTTGGGTTTTTAAAAAATTTTATACTTTTCTATTGTTTATTATGACAGGGAAAATTCTAATCAAAAAAGATAAAAAGGGGAAAAAAATGGGTTTTTCAATAATTTTATAGCACATTATAAAATTTTTGGGTCAGAAATAAATTTTTAGAAAACAGAAAAAAATTTATATGAGCCCCTCACGGACAAAACCAACATAGTGCGTTTGCGACCAGCCATGGGATCCAGACCAAGCCTGCGCATTTATGCGCAGTCTGATCAGGACCATTCTGTTTGCTAATCAGTTTCTCTACTTTGTTGAAAATGTTTAAAAGCGGAACAGTAATGGATCCTGAATCAGGGGCTTGCGCAGATGCGCAGGCTGGTCTGGTATCCATGCGGTCGCAAACTCCATTATGTTTGTTTTGTTCGTGAACATTTGGCCTCATATGTTTAAATCATTGTTTTTATTATCCAGATGCTTGTTACCAAGAAGAAAGTACCGCTTTAAAAAATTAACATGTGAAATTATTTGTCATAATAAGTTGTCAAAAGGTAAAACAAAGTAAATAGTTTTGACTCCCATACCCAAAATCTACTAAATCCACTATAACTTTACCAAATTAAAAGGAAAAAAGCAACAGAAGAAAAAGAAAGGTTTAATTTAAATTTACAATAATAATTTTTTTTCAAACAATACAAACACAACCAAAAAATAAAGGGGCTTTGGGGAAAAAACTAAAAACATTTTTGGCATTAAGGGGGCCCTTTTTAAAAGAAAAAAAAAGAGAAGTTTAGCAAATTTTGTGAACAATTAAAAGGAAAAAACCAAAAATTTTTTTGTGAATGTAATTAATAGTCCAAAAACCTTTTTATATAAATGTTGGGAAAGACCCTTTCCCAAAAAAACAAAAATTTCCCCATTTATACTTCACCCCGCTTGTTTACAAAAATAAATTTATTGACTTTTCTCAAAAGGGTATTTTTAAAATTTTATACTAAAGATTTCCCTTTTTTAAGTTCTGGGGAAAAATCCGAATTTTTTTTAGTACTTTTAAGTAAAAAAAAGGAAAAATTCCCCCCCAAAATCTCTTTTATACAAACCGGTGCTTTTTAATGATGCAAATGGTATTTTATTAAATAGCTGGTCAAAATATGTTAAAAATATGTCATCAGATTTAGGTAATTATACATGTATAGAATAATGATAACATTACAACTGTGCCTGTAAATACCATAATACAAAATTGTTTGATCAGCAACTACAACAATGGTGTGCTAACTTATTACTTTTTCAAAATTAATAATTTAATAAGCGATTCAACTATGAACTGAATCTACGTTAAAGGAACTCCACTCAGGTCCAAAATCCTAGGAACATAAAAATTGAATGTTGTTGATGGATCAGCTGGGGCACTTAAAACAGAAAGATATGCAAAAGATAATTAAGAAATACCCAAAAATAAATTCAAAATTGTATCTTTATGCTATTTTCAACTTGATATAAGTAATAAAATGTTTTACAAAATTTTTTCAATTTTTGGTCATTTTTATAAGAAGAAGAAATATTCTGGAAAAAGGGAGTGAGCTAATAATCTGAATTTTTTCACACATATTACTGGTCGAGACCTATATCAAATGGAACATTAATCTCAAAAAATAATTTTTAGTATTGTCATGTCAAAAATACGTCAGTGGAGTCCCTTTAATACATTTGTTTGAATTATTTTACACTGAAACATATGTGTATGCATAATAATTTTTATCACACACCCGTGCCGATTTTGCGACTCCGTAAATAAGGTATTGCACGGCCGTGCATATATTTTGACGTGACGTCATTAGTGTTATACAAACATAGTGTAAAGACGCACTAAATGTCAGCGTTATACTAAAGGCGCGTCAATGAAAAGTGACTCTTATTTCACTTAAAACAGTCTTTATTTGAATATGTGATAAATAGAATATTAAATTCGTGTAAGTTTATAACTGAATTTATTGCACCCGCTGAATAAAATAATATTATGCTCGCCAGAGGCTTGCATAATATAATTTAATTCAACTCGTGCAATAAATTCAGTATTGAACTTACACTCATTTAATATCCTCTATATAATACATCTTACTTTCCTGTTCTTACTGTATCGCTAAAATGTAACTTGGCAATGAACATGTATATGTTTTTGCTAATAAAACATTTGACTTGACTTTGAAAATTTAACAAATGGCATAGATATTTGTATTTCTTACAGCTTTATATTTTTATGAAAGAAAATGTCCAAAGTTATTAATGAGAAAATGTAATCAGGACTACTAATTAGAGTACTACTTTGCCTGCTGAACTGCATGTAAATATTGGGCAAACAGATTTGTGACAATTATTCTTGTCCAGTTATATTATAATTGGTTTGAGCATTTAAACAGAGGTACATATAAATGACCAGACAACCACAATGACTCACAGCCTAAAACCAGTATACCAGCTGCACTACTTTTGTTGTACAGAGGTATTTTTTGTTTGTTTGTTTTGGGTTTTATGTCACATCGACACATTATAGGTCATATCGAGACATTCCAGCTTTACTGATGGAAGAAGACCTCAGGTGCCCTTCTGTGCATTATTTCAGGCACAAATGGGCACCTGAGTAGAACCACTGACGTTCTGTAAGCTTACTGGATAGCTTCCTCACATGAAAGAATCCAAAGTCCTGTCGGTATTCGAACCCACAGCGGTGAGGGGCAAGTGGTTTGAAATACAGAGGTATAATAAAGATCTTTAAGACATATCTTTTTAAATAATTTACAAATGTAATATGATATATCAATATACACTAGTGTCGATACAGTGGAATGGAATCAGAAATTATCTTGTAGAGTCGGACTTCAGCTCATCAGATAAATTATAAACATGTATATTCCCTCACAAAAACTTTCTTCACACATAGTACAAACTTATAATTTTCTGCTACTCATTTCTATCAGTTGAGTTGTAATTTTGGCACACCTTCTACTGGAGTTTATCACTGGAGTTGGAACACTATGATATAATTGATTTTGAATTCCTTGAACACCTGCTACTGGAGTTTATCACTGGAGTTGGAACACTATGATATAATTGATTTTGAATTCCTTGAACACCTGCTACTGGTGTTTATCACTGAACTTATAACAGTGTTGTTATACAACTGTTTTATTGATTTTTAAAATTCTTTGAACACCTGCTTCTAGATTTTTTCACTTGTAACATCATCATTTGTAATCATATAATTTATTTTGATTGTTTTTAACACATTGCTGTACCGATTAATGAACTTCTCATAGTTGTAGATTTTTTATCCCTACAGATTAAGTGTCATCATTTAGTCCACTGAGATGCCTTAAGTAATTCCATTTTCATATTGAGAAAAACAAATGTCAATTCACTGTCCTTCCAGAAGTGTCTCTCTGATAATAAAAGAAATATATATTAATATCACTTTATTATTATTTATCTAGGAAATAGATATCAATTTTGCGTGTATTGTTGTAAAATAATGCAGGCTTTATGTTAAAATGTGCAGGAATATAATCACAAAGACCCGAGTGATTAATTGCAAAGCATTTGAACGCTAAGCCATGCATTTATATACTACAATGCAAGAAAAATTAATATCTATTTCCATTCTTTTACATGCTTATTAACAGAGAATTGATAAAAAATATGTTGAACTACATTGAGCATGAAGGTAATTTTCATGGCGTCCTTTGTTTTACTGATTTCATATCTGACGTCATAATTATGATGTGTAAGCATTTTTTTATGCTGCGCCTAAAGCATTTGAACAATAAACCATGCATTTTTATACTACAATGCAAGAAAAATTAATATCTATTTCCATTCATATATGCTTATTAAAAGAGAATTCATAAAAATATGTTGAACTACATTGAGCATAAAAGTAATTTCCCTGACGTCATTTGTTTTACTGATTTCATAACTGACGTCATATGATGTGTAACCATTTTTTTATGCTGTGCATATATCGTGTAATAATTCACTTGATGATAAGCCCTGTCTGTTATGTATATTATTAATTACTAATATTGTGAAGCATGTAATAATAATACATATATCACAAAAACCAAAATATCTATCACTTTTTTGTACACATCTCAAATAAAATATTGTAATTTACTTTGCCTCATTAGTTTTAAATGAAAAATTAATATTTGTCAATTATTTTTTATTGGCAGATTTTTTCATTTTAATTTAGCATGTAATATGCGTATAAAATGTTCCTGTGACAATAAATTGCAGTAAGATTATGTAAACAATGAAATCACCCTGAAATAATTTAATTTGTCAAACTTATATGATTTCATGTTTTCTAAGTTCTAGTAATTTTATTCTACATGTATAAACTTTAAATTTCTATAGATACAAACATGGATAATGCAAAAGAAATGCAATGTTATATTTTTGCTTAAGAAACGTTTTCAGTATTAATTCTCAACATACTAGATATCTGTACTGAACTTGTCCATTTTTTAATATATATATTACCATTCATTATTGTACAGACTATAATATTACAGTGCAGACCATCTTGGTTACATGGTACAAGCAGACGTACAGTTAGTTAATACATTAGTCATTTTTTATATTCATATGCTGATTTAATGCTGGATAAAAACAAATTATTTGTACCATCTTATTTCAACACAATCACATACATTACTGACATTCACAAATAAATTGTAATGGAAATAATAAATTATTTCAATAATAGCAAGCATTTGATTTACCTGATAGAAATATCATGTTCATTTTGTAAATTGACTTATATGAACCTGGAAAAATGAAGAAATTGGTACTATATATTTTAATGGTAGTGAAACTTGTTTACTAAACCATCTGTGGGTTTTGCTGTTTGAAAGAAGTTAAAATCATGCAACACTTTTACCAGGAATTTTCTCAGTTGATAAAATGCCATAAATAAGTCATAATCCGTACTTTGAACAGTAATCTCTAATGACTAAGAGATCTTAAATATATATCTATTGATTTTCAAGTGAATACCTTTAATATTTTTGAAAACTGTTGTCGATGTAAAACATATAAAATAAATACATACAGTCAGAGTGCCTTTCTCCAGCTATTTTCGGGAAAAAATTCCGCTGACTTAAATTGAGGAAAATTATGCATCAGTTTCATTCTAAGAGTGATTAACATATATATTTACCAATTGATATGTATAGGTAAGTCTTTTTTTATAAAAGTATTATATCTTAAACTTCACAACAGTAGAATAGTCCAGACATCAACACTCTGTTTCCTATAAAATACAAAAAAACTTAACACAGAAATAAATACAGAATATATTTGCATCATACAATCTTTGTGAAAGTCCTTAAATCTATAATGTACAGTAGATTTTTTCCTAAACCAAATATCACAGTGTATATTAATTTACCAATTAATTATTTCATTTGTTGTGGTGATTAAAAAATATTGTTAATAAGTGGTTTCTAAAAATAGAAGCAGGCCTTTATCCCACTTGGCACCATTGTTGTGGTGTTGAAAATTATTAAGCCTTATGTTTTCTATAAATAGAATTTAATTACTTATTACCTAATGTTCTTAGTTTGCTCAGGAGTACTCTTTAATGGGATAAAATCTAATCGTCAGGATGACACCACCCTTTGAATGCAAAGGGAAATAAAACACAAATGTTGAATAAATTTAAATCAACCAAATTTTTAATGAACTAAGCTTTTATTTACACTTAACTAAAAGTTACTTAAAACTAAATAAGTTTACAATAATCACTTTAATATATGCTGTTCTTATTTAACCAAAAATATGAAAATCAGAATAAACTAGTTGAATAAAAGATTTAACCAAGTTGAAAGTTGTTTAAACTGTTATAACTGAAAGTATAAAAATAGCCTTAATGATTCTGTGCTGTTAAACTAATAAACCTAAATAGTAGCAAGCCCTGTTTTAATCTATAGCAACAAAAATAAAGATCTAATTATTCAAAATGGCTGCCACTTAAAACAAAGAAAAGATATTAATTAATCTTAATTAATTCTGTGAAAATAATTACTTAACTTACTTACAAATTTATCAAAAATGTTTTAGTGAATTTAGATAATCTCTAAGGTTCATTTAAATGCCAAAGTGCCTAAAATAAATTAAATAATTAATTAATTAACCTTAGAGAGCTTTTAGAGATGTTACATTTCCAAAAATTAGCAGCAGAATGACAAAATTGTCTGAGATGCTTGTATAAATGTATTTCTGAATCCCAGAGGGAGCTAGCATCTACCTACAGGTGGCACTGTATGTAACAACTTATCTGATTGGTCAAATTACAGCCAACCAGAATTTACTTAACAAATGCTCTAGGCTTATCAGTTCTTTACATAACTAGTCTAAAAATAGATTATGATTCATGGAAAAGTTTAACATGAAACAATATTGACATTTTCTATAAAAGATGATAATAATGACTAATTAATACAAAGTAATCAAAATAATCAAAATACTAATAAGAAACTAAACATATTTACAAACATATATAATGCTAAATCAGTAACTTGTATCTCACTTTAAAGTTTAAGGATAATATAAGTAAAAGTAGAACCATTCTCTATATGTTGTATATAAAGAGTCTTAGGCCATGCTAAGTTACTGTTAATGAGTGTATCAATAAGTTCTACAAACTATAATCAACATTAAACTAATGAATGATAAGAATGAAATGTCTGTAAAACAATACAATTGTAACAGGACGGACAAACGGACACACAGTGATCACAATTAACGTCCTAGTTATTTACCCAGGTTCATTTAAGATTAAATTGAAAATTCAAATATGAAGAACATAGGCATTTCAGAGTTCAACAATTTTATTGCAAAATAGATTTAAGATAATATGTTTCTATGTCAAAGTATTAAATTGATTTCCTAAAATGTCACGAAATGAAATATAAGTTACAAAAAACATCATAGGGAAAATAGAGAGAAATGACCAAGTCAGACGATAATAGGTATACGCTACCTTTTGCATCTGTAGACAAGGCAATGAAATGACCGAAAATACTGGCTTATATAGCCACTTCTCTCTGCAATCACACAATTCATGAAAAATGCAAGACTTGAAAATAAATAACAAAAAGAGGAATGTTACAAAATATTGAGTAAACAATATCAAGAATCAATATTCTGCTTTAAAATGTATTGAAGTGTATTAAGTTAAATTTAATGAACAACCCTCTATTGGATAAAACCCTTACATAAGATATGAATAGCATGAATATCATGAAATAATGCATTAAGTTATGCTTACTGTTACTATAGATAGAAAAAATAGTGCCAGCTGAATGATTTTGAAAAGATACTAAATGTATAAATAAGGCTAAGGAAAAATATTCATTGTTTATATATTATTCTGAAAATAAGATTATATCAGTAAAATGTAATGATAGGCATTCCTGCTACATTCCCCCCTTCTTAAGACCAAAATTTTCAAAAAATAATTTTGTTAAAATAAAAAAAAATGCAGGAATGACAAAAGAATAATACAACATGTTATAATATAACAACAGAAAATAAGAAATAATCAATCACATATAATTTTTGTTTCACTCTGATTATTGAATTCAAAACAGTTTATTTTTTATTCTGCTTGTATTTAACAACGACATTTCCCTTGTGTTCTTCCGCGAACTGATCCCGGCACACTTGTCCGCCTCTGACTAGAAGGTCTGTCCCTTCAATAGCTTTTCTTTTATTAGACATTCTTTGTCGGTGATCAAACTTGTATGGAAGTTTGTCTCCTGGATTAATGTATTTTCCATTTTCAGATTCTTCAAATTCAATCACACTCTTCATTTTATGTACCTTTTCTTGGTGTTTCCTTACATTGTATTCTCTGGCCGACTTGAAAGAGCAGTTTGGACACTTGTATAATTTTATTATATTCACATGTTTATTGTTCCAGTGCCGTTCAAAGCTGCTGAAACTCTGGTAAACTTCCACACAGTCCTCAACTGGGCAGCAGGAGGGAACATTAGGCCAGAGAGGCCTTTCTGCTGGCTTCTGATCATTATCTATATACTGAGCATTAAACCCATCTAATTCTTCAGAGTATACTGCTAAGATCTCTAGATTATCCATTTTTCTAAAAAAAAATACAAGAACAAAAAAAAATCATTTATAATATTATTCCAGTGATCAGTTGAAAATGATTGAACAAAATGTCTCAGTCTGGATGACAAAACTTTCTGAGATAAGTTCCATCGTCGGAAAACCAATTTCCTAGGCTCATTTGTTAAAGAGTCAGACCATTCAATTGTGTATTTTCTATGGCAGGTTCTGGATAAGCTTGACTTTTGGAAGGAAGGCAGCAGTCTTCTTGACAGCTTGAATAGAATTTTGTCTTCTGTTGAAAATCTTTGTTTCTTGTGAAATTTTCATCTTGGTATTTGTCATCAACCCATGTGTAATCATCTTTCATCAGTGATTGTATAAATTCAGATGTGAATTGATGGAACTGTTCTTCTGTTATAAATCGGTTTGAATTCATGTCATGAGGATTTTCTTTGTGGTTGTCTGTAATTGTAAGAGCTGTGCTTCTTGTTTTACATGGAGTACTGGTACGTGACAGTCTTCGCCTGGGCTGGTAATGTTCATTGTGATGGAATGTTTGTTCAAATTTGTATGTTTCTGGGTCTACGTAGCTGTCCTCAGGTTCTTGTTGAAAGTTTCTAGAATATACTTCATAAGTATGGTATGACGGCTGTGTTATTGGCGCATGACATGGAGTCAGTCTATTCAACGTTATTTTGTTGACTTGTGGAGTATAGCATGTTTGTTCATCTTCCCTGGTACTTCTTTGTAATAGCTGGAGTTCTTGAAGACGTTTTTCATAGAATTGAACTTGTTCTCGGAGATACAGGACTTCCCTGACTGTGTTGTTGTGATGAAAAGAAGGTGAAGGCAGTTGTCTGGAGGAGGTTGTTGCATAATGGTTGTAATAGTAGTTGACGTCGCTCTGGTATGAAGTTGCGTATTGTAGTGGAGGATAACAATCGTAGAAGTAGACATCTTCTTCTGACGTGTTGATGCCAACATTGGTTTGTAGTGTTCTAGATAGCGGTTCCATCTCGGTGTAATGTTTGTGTGTTTAGCTGCTGGCCATGTCTAAGGCTGAATCTTCTGTGACAATTTCAGAAGGTTTGACAATATGAAGGAATCTTCTTTCTTATTATTTCGGAGCCAATATGCGGACAAATTTTGATAATCTTTTATTTCGGAGCAAATGCACAGACTAATAATGGTTTGCCAAGTGAAGTGCCTTTTAAAATGAAAATTTAGAATTTATATTATGAAGATAGATGGAAAGCTTTCTGAATATACACACTATATTGCCTAAAATGTGTGTTTGCGAAATAGGCACTATCGGACGCTGAAAATAAAGTTGTAATTAGTTGGAACTGACTATGTACTTCATAAATCAATAACTTTGGTTGCTATTGATCTCTGTACTTGTGATTTATATTTCTGGGTAAGGGACTCTTTGGGAATTGGCCTTTATATTTAATTAAAGAGGTAGAATAGGCCTGGCTAGAAGATAGAAAAGAATTTTACAACTCTAGGATCATATATGACACGCTTGTGCTTCCAGCTGCCAGAACAGTATAGCCAGAAATATATAATCACCTATTATTGTATTACTAATAGAACGATTACCCCATATAACATCCAGCTTGCCGGACTGCCGCAAACGTATAGCCGGAAGGATGTCAATGTATTCACCGTCCTACCTTATATGAAATTAACTGAAACTAAGTTAGCTGTTCAGGCTTGTGACAAGCTTCAACCTTCAGGCCGCCCCTATCAGTTGAAATAGAACAGATCACCCAGTAGCAGTTGAAAGAAGAAAAGATAGGTCAAGAGTTTTTACTGATAATAATTGACTTCACTTTATTGCTATTAATTGACTTTGTATTCAAAAATTTACTTTGACAAAAATCTTTATTTTCAAAAATACAAAAATTTACTTATAAAAATACTGTACTCCTGAGTTGAGAAAATTTACTTATTTTCAAAACTATCCCGATTCTGACACCATTGTTGTGGTGATGAAAAAATATGTTAATAAGTGTTTCTAAAAATAGAAGCAGGCCTCTATCCCACTTGGCACCATTGTTGTGGTGTTGAAAATTAAAACCTTTTTGATTTCTATTAATAGAATTTAGTTACTTATTACCTAATGTTCTTAGTTTGCTCAGGAGTACTCTTTAATGGGAAAAATCTAATCGTCAGGATGACACCACCCTTTGAATGCAAAGGGAAATAAAACACAAATGTTGAATAAATTTAAATCAACCAAATTTTTAATGAACTAAGTTTTTATTTACACTTAACTAAAAGTTACTTAAAACTAAACAAGTTGACAAAATGTACTTTAATATGAACTGTTTGTAATTAACCAAAAATATGATAATTAAGATAAACTAGTAAATAAAAGATTTAAACCAGTTGAAAGTTGTTTAAACTGTTATAAATGAAAATATGAAAAATAACCTTAATGATTCTGTGCTGTTAAACTAATAAACCTAAATAGTAGCAAGCCCTGTTTTAATCTATAGCAACAAAAATAAAGATCTAATTATTCAAAATGGCTGCCACTTAAAACAAAGAAAAGATATTAATTAATCTTAATTAATTCTGTGAAAATAATTACTTAAATTACTTACAAATTTATCAAAAATGTTTTAGTGAATTTAGATAATCTCTAAGGTTCATTTAAATGCCAAAGTGCCTAAAATAAATTAAATAATTAATTAATTAACCTTAGAGAGCTTTTAGAGATGTTACTTTTCCAAAAATTAGCAGCAGAATGACAAAATTGTTTGAGATGCTTGTATAAATGGACTTCTGAATCCCAGAGGGAGCTAGCATCTACCTACAGGTGGCACTGTATGTAACAACTTATCTGATTGGTCAAATTACAGCCAACCAGAATTTACTTAACAAATGTTCTAGGCTTATCAGTTCTTTACATAACTAGTCTAAAAATAGATTATGATTCATGGAAAAGTTTAACATGAAACAATATTGACATTTTCTATAAAAGATGATAATAATGACTAAGTAATACAAAGTAATCAAAATAATCAAAATACTAATAAGAAACTAAACATATTTACAAACATATATAATGCTAAATCAGTAACTTGTATCTCACTTTAAAGTTTAAGGATAATATAAGTAAAAGTAGAACCATTCTCTATATGTTGTATATAAAGAGTCTTAGGCCATGCTAAGTTACTGTTAATGAGTGTATCAATAAGTTCTACAAACTATAATCAACATTAAACTAATGAATGATAAGAATGAAATGTCTGTAAAACAATACAATATTCAATATGATTAAACTTTTAAAATAAACTTAAATCTCAGTTAAAGTTTAAACCCTTAATATTTCTTGAAAAGTATGCATGAAGATTATATATGATTTACTTCTTGAGTAATATTATACAATATTATGTAATGATTACATAATCTGTTGTAGTTGGAATCCAACTTTACAACACATTCATTCATTCAATTTTATTTATTCAGAATGAAAGTATAAAAGTATTTATATACTTTTGCTGAATGATAATATATCATATATACGAGAAAATAAAAAGAATAATACAACTCAAAACAAAATTGTTATTACCGGTAGTTTGAAATAAATATAACGCATAACTGATTTTGAATATGACTGTAAAACTGTTGACAAAATTTCACCATAAGACTATTGATGAAATTGTTAAATAAGTAGAGTAGTAAAATAATTATACAGTTGTAAACCAAGAATATAATAGTTAATGTATTAGCATTTCTCATTTTAAAATCCTTAGTTAGAATTGACTGCACTGTCCCCTAACTACTGTCAAACATTGTTGATATGTCCGCAGTCAATCGCCTGTAATTTTTCAAAGTCTCGGCAATTGATGTCACAAACATCCTTGAAAATTTCTTCTTTCTGCCTCTGCCTGACTTGTCTACAATTTCTCCATTACCCTTTCTTAATCGTTTATGCCAACTGAAAACTATGATGTGGCTTCCAGGACATTTTCTCTTGTGTGATTGCAAAGGCAAAGGTAGCATAAATGAAGTCATTTATTCTGAATGAAGTCATTTATTCTGACAACATCTATTAGATAGCTCATGATGTTTTGGCGTATTTCTGTAGTATTTCTGTAAAATAGGGTATATTGTGTGAACTATCATTATACTTTAGAAAAAAATTCTTGGGAAAGTAAATTGACTAATAGAGTTTTGTCTGTTGCATTCTTACCTAATTTCCATTTAACGATTCCCGGATGCTGTCAGGCAGTACATCTTAAATCCTTCCCATCAAGAAAAGAGGTCCTGAAGAATACACAAAAAACAACTTTTGATTTTATCATATAACACAAAAAATCTACACAGATGTAACAAGAGCCCAGTTTGAGCCGGGTGATGCTCCCCGAATAGGTTTTGGACACAGGAAAGTACACCTCTTGTAGTTTTCAGAGTTATGTCCCTGGAAAAAGTTCAAAGTGCAATAATTCCAAAATTAGGCAAGGCAGAGTTACTGTTCTTTGCACTGCACTTCTAATCACTGTGATCTATCAACCTACAAAGTTTCTAGTTCATACCTCTTATGGTTTCTAAGTTATGTTCTAGACAACTTCAAAAAGTAAAAATAAACAAAGGGCAATAACTCCAGAATTAGGCAAGGCAGAGTTATGAGTCTTGTCCACTGCACTTCTACCCATTGAAATATATCTTCCTACAAAGTTTCATGTTGATATCTCTTATAGTTTTACAGCTATGTCCAGTACAAGATTTTTCTAAAAGGGGAGATAATTCATAATGAGATCTATCTATCTTCAATGTTTCATCTTGATATCTCTTATAGTTTTAGAGTTATGTTCCGGACAATGTTCAAAGTGTTGAAATTAACAAAGGGCAATAACTCCAAAATTAGGCAAAAAAGAGTTATGGTGCTTGTGCACTGCACATCTACCCATTGAGATTTATTTACCTACAAAGTTTTGTGTTTTGTGTTGATATCTTTTATAGTTTTAGAGTAATGCCCCGGACAAGATATGTCTATAAGGGGAGATAATTCAAAAACCAGGCAAAATAGAGTTATGGTTCTTTGACACTGCACTCCCCCTCAATCCCCTCTACCACTGTATGAAGTTTAAACAAATTATCTCCAAGGGTTTTCAATTTATGCTCCCGACAAGACAACGGACGGACAGAAGGACGGACGGACAGGGCGCCGACTATATGCTCCCCCCGAAATTTTTCGGGGAGCATAATAAATACACTTTGAATAATACCAAACAAACTATAGAGATGACTTGAATTGGGGTTCTAAAAAACTATTTTCTATCCCACTCCAAGTTGGGTCTATTTCTGTACAGGGGTGACAACTAAAATAATTCAAGGTCACATGATCACAAGAAAACAGACATGTTTACATCGGTAAATTAATGAAGAGAGAATTTATACACCTTTTTTTTTAATAATGACACAACAGATTATAAAATATAATTGATACACGACACATGCTTATTTAGAAGACAGAGCTTGAATAGGTCAAGATCATGTTTTCTTGCACTTGTTATCATTTAAGTGGCACAAATGACGGGTATAATTTACTGAAAGTGGAATTTGAGGATTCATATTTTTTTCATTTTACCTGGCAACTGAATTCCACGAATACACAATCTTACAGTTCACAAACCACCAAATTTATGCCCTGAAAATTAAATGATTTTGCAGTACCTTCAATACTTTGTGCTCTGGTAAACCAAAAACACAAACCTTTTCTTTAGACCTGCTATTACAGGTTTCCCTCACTAACTTATAATTATAGAAACTTATATATCTTTGCAACATTCTTTTGCAATAAAAGTACATAAAATGTTGAAATCATATCACAGCCTAATTAATTTTAACTTTAACAAGTGCAAAGCCCCAAGGAGCATAAGTACACATGCTGACCAACATTCTTGTAAACTTTCAGGCCTACAGGTCAAATACTTTTTGAGTAATGTGCAACACAAATTGAATATTGTAAATTTTTACTAAGTGAAGGGCAATAACTCAAACAAGAGCTGTCGATAGGACAGCAACGCTCGACTATTCTAAGTAAAGAAAAGGGTAAAATTTTTCTTTAAATCAATATTACAGATATAGGCCTTGGAGAGAGTCCTATTATGTTCTCAAAGAAGACTATAAAATTTCAACTTGTTTCAAAGCAATATGTCAATGGACTTTGAAAATATTTGAGGTATAACAAAAAAATTAATGTAAAATCTACAACGCCGTCGCTCGGGTGACTACAATAGCTCTACTTATTCTTATCAAATAGTCGAGCTAAAAATACTAATAATATCCACACGAAAATACCCATATGCACAATTACACATGTTGATCAACATGCTTGTAAGGTTTCATGACTCTAGGTCAAATACTTTTTTAGTTACGTGCGACACAAGTTAAAATTGGAAATTTTTACTAATTCAAGGGCAATAACTCTATAAATACTAAATATATCCACACAAAAATACCCAGGTGCACAACTTCACATGCTGATCAACATTCCTGTAAGGTTTCATGACTCAAGGTCAAATATTTTTCAAGTTACGTGCGACACAAGTTGAAAATTACAAATTTTTACTAAGTCAAGGGCAATAACTCCCCAGGTGAACAACTACACATGCTGATCAACATTCCTGTAAGGTTTCCTGACTGTAGGTCAATTACTTTTTGAGATACGTGCGACACAAAAAAGAGAACAGACAAGTGGACGGACAAGGGTAAATCTAATTGCACGCCCCCCCTAAAAACATTGCAGGAAACTGCAAGTACTGTCTCAACATGGAGGCTGCCATCTTTTTTTCTTGGCTATATCCCATACTGAATGGTTCTATTTCTTGAAATCAGTTGCTATCAAAATATTGTCATTTTCTTGGTTATTTTGAGTAAAGATATATATTTTGTATTTCTTATTATGAAAATGACTTGTATGGAGCCAAAGTGTGTCACAGATACACTATTATACCTATACTGTATTAAATTTCATACAAAAACCATTCACTACCATACATATTAGGAAGTTATACTGCAACTGCATGATGATAGTTTTTAAGGAGAAAACAAGATTGCATTTGAGAAAAATACTATGCCACCGCATTAATACAACACTAAATAGTAGTGTAGGAACAGATTTTTTTTGTTTCTATACAATTTTGAAGATTGTCATAATGCATAGATCCCTGACCTATCTAATTCTTAATATCAGATTAGTGGTTAAATCTGTTGTTAACTCAATAAAAGATCAGAGTAGGAATATATCAATGCAGTTGAGTCTAGTGAATTTGGTTGTGCCAAAGGTCATATTTCACACAGCCTAAATTTCATGACTACATCAAAGGACAACACAGTAAGACACTTGCTGAAATCAAAGTTCACTTTACTTTTTAGGGCGTTCTTTCCACAAAGTTGTGGAATGTGTGGGGACTGTGGCATAAAAATAGCCAGCTTTCCTTCAGTCAGGAGCTTCAACACCAAAATTTAAGTGTGTGCACAGTTTCTTAAAAATTCTCTATACTTTGTCATTTATGCGAAATTATTCTGGTGCACAAAGTTTTTATTAATTTATCTTTGAGGTTTTACGATTTTATCAAATAATCTGACATTAATTTTTGTGAAGTTCAAGTCTTGTTTTGATAAGAAACTTTATTGAGGGAACTTGAGATTGTAACTTAAAACAATATTTTTATGTGGATCTAACACAATGATTTTTGTGACATAATAGCTGACAGTTAATTTATATATTTGCTTGATTAAGCTGTTTAATAAAACTTTAGAAAAGGTATTTGTAACACAGTCACGGAGAGCAGTCATATAGGATAGTTGCTGTCAACATAAGAAAGGGGCATAGTTACAGGGTACCACCAAATGCAGGAGCTAAACAGTATTTTGTAAAAATTCATGCATTTTCAAATCAAATATTGCTTTTACCTCATTCTGTTACTGATAGAAGAGATCGCCATCATTACAACACAAACTTTTGTCTGAAAATGCCATCTGAAACTGTAATAATACTTAATAAAGAAATGGGTTAATACAGAATCAGATGTTTTAAAGAAATACCACAAAAGAAAAATGACTATATTATTAATATATTGGCCAAATTTTGTACCATGAATTGTTTAATAGGTATAGTAGCAGGAACTTTGCCCGAGGATTGAACTAAGGGCCACTGGATAAATAATCTGATGCTCTCTCTATTGAATGTCCAACTAAATACATCAGTTTAATAACAAAGTTTTAGAAAATTTCTTATAATTGAAACAAAAACATTGTTGAAGATCATTTTAAGCATTGAATTATTAAAGATTACGTTTAACAGCCACACTTATATTGCTGCAAAGTTATCACAATTTCAGCACATTTCAATAATTTGAGAGTACTTTACCCAGTTTTGTTTTGTTTGGTAGAAATTTGTTGATGGATAATGTCAAATCATGAAATGAAATAAACAAAATAGCCTGTCCAACATTATCACAACTTGAAACCTGAAAGCCCTTCAAATTATCCTATTATATAAATATTTGAATATTGTTTACTGGGTTCAAAATAGACACCATGCTATTTCTAATGTCTGGACAGATAAAAATTCTTATCAACAGTTATTAAATTCAATTAATGTCTCCCGTTATTTAACCCATTACTTCATATACACGCCTTTTAACGCCTTTTTCACCCCCCCCCCCTTTTTGTTGTCTCAAATGGTGAAAAAATGCATTATTTTGGCCCTTAACACTTGTTTTTGTTTGAGAAATGTTGTTAAAAAAAGTGACCACTTTTTCGGCGCGGCCCCCAAACCAAAAGATACATCAGGGGGTTGCCAGAAGGGGGATGTGCCCCCTTCTGTTTAAGGGGTTTGAAGGTGGGCGGAGTCCCCCTCATCGCCAAGAAAATTTTGGACTTGTGAGAGGCTATAAATGACCCCAGATTGATCATAAGGTAACGTCTAACCAACGCTGAAATGCATTTGACTCTATCTCAATCCATTGAGAAGTTGCAGCACTTTGAAATCAATTATGATGGAAAAAATCAACGCAAAATAGTGATTTTTGGCAATTTTGAGATGTCCCCTCGTTGCCATGGTAACAGGAAATTTAAGCCTGAGCATGTTGTTGCAAGGGCAATGGTCCAGTCAACATTTGTGCCAAGTTTGATTAGTGTTGAAGCAGTTTTTATAGTATTATAGCAATTTGAACTTGTAACGGGAGACTTTTCAATGAAAACAGCCATTTTTCACAAAATGCTCATGAAGCAATGGGTTAATGAAAAAAATAAAAAAATCTACAAAACAACAATTTTTCTTCAAATTTATATGACAGGCCATGTTTAAACATGGAAAAACGCAATTTAGAGTATATTCAAGTATTTTCATCATTTTCTGTTAACCCATTACTTCATATACACGCCTTTTAACGCCTTTTTCACCCCCCCCCTTTTTGTTGTCTCAAATGGTGAAAAAATGCATTATTTTGGCCCTTAACCCTTGTTTTTGTTTGAGAAATGTTGTTAAAAAAAGTGACCACTTTTTCGGCGCGGCCCCCCAACCAATAGATACATCAGGGGGTTGCCAGAAGGGGGATGTGCCCATGGTAACAGGAAATTTAAGCCTGAGCATGTTGTTGCAAGCACAGGGACCCAGCACAGTGTTGGGATAGTGTAAAAAAGTATTTTAAAAAAAATATATATATTGTATATATAATATATAGACTATTATATATACAGTATAAATTTTTTTCTAGAATTACTTTTTTTACACTATCCCAACACTGTGCCGGGTCCCTTTGGTTGCAAGGGCAATGGTCCAGTCAACATTTGTGCCAAGTTTGATTAGTGTTGGAGCAGTTTTTATAGAATTATAGCAATTTGAACTTGTAACGGGAGACTTTTCAATGAAAACAGCCATTTTTAACAAAATGCTCATGAAGTAATGGGTTAAGAGTGATAAATTCTTACCTGTACTTTCTTCACGTTTCATAATAACATGGATTATAAAATCTGTCTGAATAGTTGGTCAAGGGATCAAAATATGAGTTGTCTCCCTTCCACTGATTATACATGTATATGTAACTTCTCCTTCTCAATCCTGAAGTCAAGTAATAGATTATGTACACATATTTTTTACATATTTTTTATACTTTTGATATAATCTTGTAAGGGATTTGTTTCATGTAACATCTTTAATGATACTGCGAATTCACTTTGTAGTATTCGTAGGTTTTCTTATCCGAATACCCGTCCACCTGCATTAATGCAGGGAACCAGTCCCTCCCCAGTGACGTCACTTCCTTATCCGTTCTTCCTGCTGAAATTGAACCTGTTGGTATTCACTGAGAAGAAAGATATCCTTGCAATCATCCGAAGTGTGCGACTTTAACAGTTTGCCTGCGGCTGATATTATTGAGTAGCATCTTTATTTAGGTGAGTAATACTTTATTGGCGCTGCGAGCAGCCAAATATTGCAAGATTTTTGCAATTTATCCCAACCTATAAAAAGTTCGGGAAATTTTGCCCGCCATATTACCACGTGAAATAAAGTGATTTATTGACGATTGTATCATTAAAAATATTACTTCATTTCTTTAGTTTCATCCCGAAATTAATTTTTAATTTCGAATTTTAATTTTTTATGGTCTTTTGAGACATTTTCAAATTATTATAATTTGTAAATACTCCGTGCATTATTTTCGGCCGAAATTTATTTCTTTTTGGCCATTATCAATATATATATATATTCTTTATCATTTTAGAATTTAATACATCGTTTGAATCGTCAACTCGTCTTTTCACGTATACCCGACCTGTCTTTGACAGTGTTGGGTACCTCCACACTTGCCAAGCAAGCCCTGTCCTGTTTCTAGTGTTTCCATTCCTGTCAAATCTTCGACAGAGACGGAAGAGCAACAGAACCATATACAGCAATCCCCTTCAATGTAAGCTTTTAATTTTTCTGTGTTCAATCATTGTTATGTTTAAATAACAAAGTAAATTGTGTAATCACTGTGTTGTAACCTGTACAAGAGTTAAACTACATATTTCCAAAGAAATTAATAGTCATATTTATATTGCATATACATTACATTTATAAACATTATTTTTCAAATTAATAGTTTCCGGTCATATTATTGATATAATAAAACTGGATATTTATCACAGGAAATAAATAATTAATATAGAATCTACATATTAATATTGAATAGTCTGCCTCACATTCTCAGAAATCCCAGTGTAAATAAAATCAGTAGTAAATATCTAAAATGGGGGTGGTAGATTTAGATACCACAACTATTGATGAGTTGGTCCTGCTGCCACGGGTAGGGGAAAAAATTGGTTTAAAAATAATAGCAATACGAGAAGATTTTGGGAGGGTCCCTTTAAATGAATTAATGGGAATTAAAGGGTTTCGACCTACAAAAGATTTTTGGGAAATAGCTGTATTTTCCAAAATGCCTGAAGATGAACAACAATTGTTAAGGAATAAATTTCTAAAAGAAATGATGACATTATCCGATGAAGGTTCAGATGATGATAGCAAAAAACAACCAGAACAAGCTGAAGACAGTATTTTTGGTGACCCTATATCTGCACCGCAAATACCAGATACAAAAATTGAAGAACCAAGAGGTCGAACTAGTCCTCAAAATAAACAAGGCAGTCCCCAACAGGGACAAACTAGTCCGCAGCAACAAAAGCCAGATTGGTTTCAAAATACAGTGGTTGCTATTGATGATAGAAATGCTAAACACACCCACAGGGGGACCCGTTCAAAAACAACCCAAAATTTACCAGAATCAGGGCGTAGAAGGGGAGATTATACTAATTTTAATTCACCTGAAAGTGAAACTTCAGTACAAACAGTCTTATCCCAAATGCAAAATATGTTAAAGACTACTTTAGATACTGTGGTTCAAAGACCGCAGATCTATTCACAATTCCCACCACAAGCATATGGCTACCAATTTGCTAACCCAGAACAATTTCAATTTAGACCTTATCCAAGACCACAAGATGGGGGGTATGGTAGGCGTGATAATGTTTCTGGGGGGAGGGGAAGAAGTGAGTATAGATATGATACTGGAGACGATTATTCATCAAGGCGTATGGAGGGGGGTGAACGAAGTAGGGAGGATTATTTGTATAGTTTTGATACGGATGATCGCTCAACGAGGCGTGATGATAGGGGAAGCAGAGAATTTCGCTCTGATGATAGGGGAAGCAGAGAATTTCGCTCTGATGATAGGGGAAGCAGAGAATTTCGCTCCGATGATAGGGGGAGAAGAGATTCACATTCTGATGATAGGGGGAGCAGAGATTTTCGCCGTGAAAGACCTAGATTGAGTCAGTTACCCAAATCTTTAACGTTTAATGGAAAGGGGAGTTGGAAAGCATTCCAAAGCAAATTTAAAAAATACGCAAGCATTAATGAGTGGACCGAAGATGAAAAACTGGATTATTTATGTATGAGCCTGACCGATTCAGCAAGTGAGTACTATGCTCTGGTTATGGATAGGGATCCTGAGTTAGATTATGACCAATTGATTGAGAAGATGGAACGTCGGTTTGGGTACCAAGAATTACCCGAGACGGCGATGATTAAATTTTCCAATGCATGTCAAGATAAAAATGAGCTTTTAGATGAGTGGGCTGATAGAATCCTTACATTAGCGACAAAAGCGTTTCGAAATCTTCCAGATGAACACATGAATAGTCAAGCAATTCTGCGGTTCTGTCATGGATTGAATGACAAGGCTGCAGGTGAGAGTGTAGCAAATATGAGACCTAGCACCATGGATGACGCTATTGATAAAGTAAAATGGGCTAAATATACTAGAGGATTAGTATATAATAAAAGAGAAACTGCATCTAAGGGGTCAGTTCAGGAGGTGGAAGTGGCAGCCGTTTCTGCACCGTCTGAGAATCGAGATAAATCCAATATCAGGTTTTCGAGAGTTGATGAAGTAGAAAAAAGATTAAGTCGTATAGAATCAAGGTTTGATAAGATGGAGGACACAGTAAATAACCTCGCGAAGGAAGTAAGAAGATCATTAAGACGATATTCGCCATCCCCTTCCCGAAGTCCGTCCGATAGCAGGTGCTACAATTGTGGTAAGTGGGGTCATTTTCAGAGAGATTGTGGGCGTACCACAGTACGAAGACGCCGTGAATCACAGTCTCCTTCGAAATCGCCGTGTCACAATTGTAAGAAAATCGGTCATTGGAAACAAGATTGCCCTGAACTGAAGAAAGATGATAAAAAGCGAACAGAGAAAAAGGTAGCTTTCGTTCAACATGATTTAAACGACAGTGGGTCGGAGGAATGGGAGGCCTAACTTCGACCCGGCAAGATAAAGAGGGCCTTGGGGAGGTTGAGGAAATAGTAATAAATCAACTGGGAAAGACAGGAGCCTTGTTTAAGATAGAAACGTATGTTGAAGGTATTAAGATAGGAGCTGTTATAGATACTGCAGCACAGGTAACAATTATCTCGTCCAATTTCTTTGAAAATCTAAAACAACAAAGATTTATTCCTATCGTAAAGAAAGTTACACTAAAAACTGCGGGTAAAGATCTCCATATGCAAGGTTTAATTGTTGGGCCGTTAAAAATAAAAAATAGGAAAGTGTACCTTTGAGGAGTCTATTTATGTAGCACCAATAAGCAATGATATGCTTCTGGGAAAAGATTTGATGGTCAAACATGGCACTTACATCAATATCCCGGATGCATACATTCAGATTGCAGGTCAAAGAATTAAAATGACAGATAATATTGAGGAAGGGGTGCCGGAAGTGTCAAAAGTAACAGTATTGCATACTATAAAAATTCCGCCAAAATCAGGAGCAATGATCCCATGTAGGGTAAAAGGTGATTTAGGAACTTACTATGTAGAAGGGGAAGGTTTTAAAAATTTACTTGTTCCTAGGTTGGTACAATCAGGGGAGTTTGTGCAAATTAACGCCATTAATTTGTCTAATCATAATGTAAAATTAAAGCAAAACGATTGTCTAGGACAAGCCGAAAAAGTCTGTATAGCACCTACAGTTCCCCCTGAATATTTGAATAAAAACAAGGTAAATAAGGCAAAGGGTATCCCCAATATTGAATTACCCGTTCATCTTTCTGACCTTTATGAGAGATCAGTGGGAAATTTAAATAGTACAGAAAAGAAAGATCTAAAGGCATTACTTGTAGAGTATCAAGATGTGTTCGCGACAGATGAATTTGATTTAGGCAATTTCTCAGCTCTTGAACATGAAATTGATACAGGGGATGCAAGGCCTATAAAGCAAAAAGTTCGTAGGACACCAATGGCTTTTGTTCAAGAGGAAGAAGGTCATTTGAACAAAATGTTGAAAGCGGGTGTTATTAGACCGTCGTATTCAGATTGGTCTTCGAGCCCAGTATTGATCCGGAAACGTGATGGATCAGTACGGTGGTGTGTTGATTATAGAGGGTTGAATGATCTAACAAAGAAAGATGTATATCCTTTGCCCCTGGTTGAAGATTGTACGGATATGTTGTCTGGTAAAAGATGGTTTTCGAAGTTAGACGCAAATTCCGCATACTGGCAAATAAGCATAAAAGAAGGTGACCGTAAAAAGACCGCTTTTAGTACTAAGTATGGGTTATATGAGTTTGTAAAAATGGCGTTTGGCTTGTGCAATGCTCCGGCCACTTTCTCAAGAGTTGTGAATTTGGTCTTGCAAGGGTTGACATGGGACACTGTGTTAGCTTTCTTGGACGATATCCTGGCCATGGGTAAAGATTTTAATGATCATTTGCGTACCCTTCAAATCATTTTCCAACGTTTTAGAAAATATCAATTGAAACTCAAACCGAAAAAATGTGTATTATTTCAACGTAAAGTAGAGTTTTTAGGACGCTGGGTAGGGCCTGCTGGTTTAGAAGTATCAGACACAGATGTAAAAGTAGTTAACGAATGGCCGGTCCCGAAATCTTCCAAAGATGTGGAGAAGTTTTTGGGACTAGTGAATTATCATAGAATGTTCATCAATCACTTTGCTGAACGTTCACGTCCTCTATATCAATTAACAGGGAAAAATAAGTTCATATGGGGAAAAGAACAAGAGCTGGCTTTTCTTGATTTAAAATCAGCTTTGGTTACAGCCCCAGTACTTGGTTTACCCAACAATTATGACCCTTATATCCTAGATACAGATGCTTCGGATCTAGCAATCGGGGGGGTCTTAATACAAGTACAAAATGACGAGCCCAGAGTGATTTCTTATGGTTCATATGCCCTGACCAAAGAGCAACGTAAATATTGCACTACACGGAAGGAACTTCTTGCTGTAGTACGGTTTACAAGACAGTACCGCCATTATTTATTAGGGAGGAGATTTACTCTTCGCACGGACCATAGCAGCCTTACCTGGTTAATGCGTTTCAAAGAGCCCCAAGGTCAAATAGCTAGATGGCTAGAAGAATTGAGTCAATATGACATGCTTTTGCAACATCGTGCCGGCAATAAACATGCAAATGCCGATGCTCTATCTAGAATCGTCCAAGAGCAAAACAAATGCGACGAATATAGCCTGGGAGATTCTCTTCAAGAATTGCCGTGTAATGGTTGCCATTATTGTCAACGCGCATATCAAAATTGGGGGAGGTTTGCGGAGGATGTTGATTTTGCAGTGCCTTTGACAAAAACAACAAATAAATTGAACAAACATAATCGGGTATGGGATCCAGGGATATCTCCTGTCAATCCAGAGGTTAATATTACCACTGCAGTTAATTCATCCCAATTTGAGAGTAAATTATTTAGGGAAATATGCCAACTTTTAGGAATCAATAAAAAACGAACCACTGCTTATAGACCCTCTGCAAACGGACAAATAGAAAGATATAACAGAACATTAATGGATGCCGTACGCTGTTTCGTAGACAAAAAGCAAGACGTATGGGATGAATGTTTGCCTCAAATTGCAGGTGCCTTACGATCTTCAGTCTGCCGAAGCACTGGCTTTACACCAAATAAACTAATGTTGGGCAGGGAGGTCGTGATGCCCTTAGAATTAGTATACCCTTCTCCGAAAATTCATTTTGAGTCTAGTCATGAATATGTTTCAAATTTACAAGATACCATTAAAGAAGCTCATGAAATAGCTAGAAATACATTAAGGTCAGAACAAATGGTCTCTAAGCGTGATTATGATACCCGTTTAAATATGAAACAGTATGAGGTAGGAGATAAAGTTTTTATATTAAATTCCGCTACTAAAAAAGGGAAGTCCAAAAAGTTATCACATCAGTGGGACGGTCCAGGGTTAATAATACAACGTATATCACCCTATCTTTATCGAGTTCGATCAAGAAAATCAATTAAGATTATCAATCATGATAGAATAAAATTGTGTAAAGTGGAAAAAATACCCTCATGGATGGTAAGTGAACTCAAAAATCTAAAAAGTCATCAAACTGATAAACTTTATTGCCTTTGTAAAAAGCCAGATGACGGCTCATTTATGATCGGGTGTGATTGGTGTGATGACTGGTTTCATGGCAGATGTGTTGGAATCACCGAAAGCCAAAGTGAAAATATATCAAAATATAAATGTCCAAAATGTGAGGCAGACGATGATGACAACTAGGGACGGGAACATACATGTTTTTACGGTTGATTTTTCAGAATGCCCAGGAGTCGGAGTTCATCAAGCTCCCCCCATGAAAGTCCGAAAAGGGGGTGGAGGAAGATTCCTGATACATTTGCCCGGGTGGTTAGGGAAATTAAGCAGGCCACTCAGGAGGGAAGGCTCTGGGGAAATCCCCGGGACCTTATCAACCAACTTGGGGTGGTGTCCTTGTCCCAAGAGGAGTTGCAAGATATTGTCTATGGGCAATATCAAATTGCTGAGATTAAAAAGGATCATCGATTTGTTAGGCAGCTCCGATACCGAGCTGACTTAATCTTAGAGCGGAGCTTTGTGGCTAATAAGCTCTCGGGGAGGGGCAAGGCAAGGCCATTGGGACAAAGAGTGGTGGAGAATATCTCTAGTCCCTGTGGGCGAGGACGTAGGGCAGTGACAAGTACTGTCACTAACCCTAGTCATGATTGCCATATGCCCCCTCTTGAGCTGGCACAAGATTTTCCCCCACTCTCCTCTCACGAGGATGAACGGGGGTTGTCTTTGCCACAGGTACAAAGTCTCCCTCTACAGCGGCCACAAGAGTGTTCCCCATTCCCCTCTCACGAGGATGAACGGGGGTTGTCCCAGTCCCAATCCCCAGCAATTCTCCCACTTTTCCCTCAGGAGAATGAGCTAAATCCTCCTATAAGGAGCCTTCTAGATCTAGATATCCCTGTGCCTGCCAGGTTCGCTGGGCGATTACAGGGGAGAAGTATCTTGGATCTTCCGATACAGGAGGATCAGGCCCTGCCCATGCCTGCCAGGTTCGCTGGGCGATTACAGGGGAGAAGTATATTGGATCTCCCGATAGAGGAGGATCAGGCCCTGCCTGAGGCCCTCATTTCCCTTCCAGAAGAGCCGATTCCGGTGCACATTTTGGTGGAACCAAGAAACATTCAGGCAGATGTAACCTGGGAAGATCAGGAATGCCCTACGGTCAGACCAGAAGACAAGAACCGCGAGGTAAAAGTTACCACGAGAGTTTTTTACAGGTCTGATCGAATGCATGGTCGACCAGATTCCACTAATAACCAGAATCCCTCTGCCGGAGGATCAGTTTGGGCTAGGCTGGGTGCTAATAGGGCCAATCCAAGCTCACACAGTCCTGCCCAAGAGGAAAGCAATAAGGAGTGTAAGGTTCGCTGGAGAAAAGATTCAAGGTGTCCGGTACGCGGATGCTCCACATTTGCCAGACACCTCAAGGCCCATGTGATGTCTAAACATTTACCTGTGCGTTTTCGCTCAGAGGCCCTTCACGGATGCTCCTGGTATAGGGAACAACTTACTTCTCTCCAGGAGCTTGCTTTCATGCTCACTGGGGAGAGGGATGTGTACCTACTCCTGAAATTTGTTCAGAGCCAAGGCTTCATTGTGCCTTATAATTCTCATATTCTTGTTGATGACAAGTATTGGATGGCTTCTGTCTCAAGGCAGCAGGGGTGGGCGGAGGTGGAGTATTCACTCCATCCGCCAAATTCCCCGGCAGTTTTGATGCATTGGCGGGTTCTGGCCTGGCTTTTGCAATTTCTGTCCCCTGCCCAGAGGACAGAGTTCCATGAGCTTGACAGGGACCAATCTTGTCAAAACCTTAGAAGAGGAGAGTTCATTGTGGTAGATGAAGTCTTCAGTGATGAAGATGAGCAACCAGCTTCACCTGCCAGAGAGGAGCCGGTTCTAGAGAAACCAGCTCCTCCTACAAGAGTGGAGCCGGTAAGGAATCAACCAGCCTTTCCTGCCAGAGAGGAGCCGGTTCTTGAGAAACCAGCCCCTCCTACAAGAGAAGAGCCGGTGAGGAATTGCAATCAAGTCGCAGCCTTCGACAGTCACTTTCACCTGGATAGGACTGCTAGTTGGCTGCAACGGAATCAAGACCTTGAAGAGATTCTTCATGTGGATATCGGTGGTCCTCCGGAGTTTCCATTGAATGTGTCTGGGGGGGTTGCGGTGTATTGTGACCCGGCCAGCTTCCCCTCTGAGTTAATTCTGGACCGCATTCCGAGAGGTTTTGGGATAGCTATGGGAATTCATCCCAAGCAATCTCATCAGTTCTCGGAGAGCTTGCTAGATAACATCAGGCAACGTCTCGGAAATTCCAGGGTTGTAGCCATGGGGGAGGTTGGATTAGACTTCACAGCCCCCGAGGGTACATGGTCTTTTCAAGAGCATGTGCTCATTAGAATGTTGTCTTTGGCCCCGTCCTCTATGCCTGTCATACTGCATTTGAGAGATGGGGAGCATGGAAATGCATATCTCAAAGGATATGATATCCTTATGAGAAATTCCGCCCCAGTGCAAAAAGTGCATCTCCACTGTTTTGCAGGTAGCGCCGAAGCGGTAATTATGTGGAACCAAAGGTTCCCAAATTGTTACTTTGGCTTAACTGCATTAGTAAGAAACTTTAATACTGGGCAGCGGGAAGCACTCCAAAGGATTCTATGGGACCGCATTCTTTTGGAGACTGACTCGCCATATTTCCGGGGAATTCTTACCAACACCCCGAGATATATCGGAGATACTGCCCTTCTTGTAGCGGAAATCCGAGGGTGCTCTGTGGAAGAGATATGTTCCCAGAGTTTGGAGAATGGGAGAAGATTGTATAACCTTTAAAGAGATCATAAGATTCCCCGAATAGATTTAATAGTAATCTAGTTGGGGTTGTTTGTCAGTTAATGGTCAAAGGGGTATCCCGAGTGGATTTAATAATAATCCAGTTGGGTTCAGTCCCTTTAATTAAAATTTGTCAAAATATCAGTTAATCGGATTTATTGATAATCCAAGCTAGGTTCAGTCTTTTGTTAAAATATGCTTCCAAACCTGGAAATAATAATAGTGTTTAAAGGCTATAATGTTATTCCCTAGATCCCTAAAAATGTCCAAGCTTGGACAACACCCATGCTAACGGCCAGGGATTTCATATAACCTAAACCCTTAATGAAACCTTCTTATAAAGTGGGGAGGAGTGTAGTATTCGTAGGTTTTCTTATCCGAATACCAGTCCACCTGCATTAATGCAGGGAACCAGTCCCTCCCCAGTGACGTCACTTCCTTATCCGTTCTTCCTGCTGAAATTGAACCTGTTGGTATTCACTGAGAAGAAAGATATCCTTGCAATCATCCGAAGTGTGCGACTTTTACAGTTTGCCTGCGGCTGATATTATTGAGTTTCATCTTTGTTTAGGTGAGTAATACTTTAATACACTCACGTTACTTCAGACAGTGAGAGGTAGAGGAACATTCGACCGATGCGCAGGAAAGTTAGCATAAAGTCATTCATATAATATATTATTTCTAATGTTTTCAAGACAGTCATGTAAACCTGCTTTACGTTGTTTTATTCGATTTTCTTTCGTATTTGAAAGTTAAACGATTGTTCCGTTAATATGTTTTCGGAACTATTTATCATTTAATGTGCAATATAATGTTGTTATATATCGGGAAAATATGGCATATTCCCCATAGTATTTCTTTATAACTATTGCTTGTTTCCTGCCTGATATGTTCCAGACATTAAATCATTACGGTTATATAAATGCAGATAGGATCTTCAAACATTCAACTCACATAGAAAAATCATCATTTTGACCGTTTATATGTCGATAAGTCTATGATGTAACGAATAACAATTATATCCTGCATTTTTTCTGTCAAGAACTTATAGGGAAAAGCAAACATATTTTGTAATATGTTGACACATTTGTAATTATATTGTAAATGATATTAAGTAAGCAATTAATCCTGTAAAACTGATCTTCCTAGCATTCTATCAGTGCAAAGCTATATTTAATATCAAATTAAAAAAAACGTACTTCAAAACATGTTTGTACATAATACTTATTTTTGCTGAGATTGTGAAATTTTGTTACATGTATTATCATATTGGAAAACGGTCTACATGAAAAAAAATCCTAAAACAATTACTAAATTTTTATTCCGTTACAGAAAGTCGTCGATACATCACTTAATGGTTATTCACAAAACAATCAAACAAAATGGTTTTATTTGCCATGTTATAGCAAAATTAGAAAACTTTATTTCTATGTAAGGGCAGATGTTTTACCAACTCTTGTTTCTTTTAATAACCATTAAATATGTATCTTATAGTATCTTTATGATGCCACAAAGAAAACGTCTACAACACATTTGTTAAAATGTAGCCCTGAAGTGCCCTAAAAGTAGCTAAATTATCCTAAGAAATGAACATTTTGGAAAAGTTACGGACTATTTGTATACAGTTAATGTTGTATACATAATCATAAATCCATATTTATTAGGCGAAAGATACGACACCGTCGTTGACGTTTTTCAAATAAATGGTTCTTATCTAAGACGTTTGTATTGTTAACATATATATATTTCTTCACACTACTAATGCATAGCAACACTGTATGGAGTATTTGATTAAAAAATGTGAATAATAATTACATGCTGAAAAAATCTATATTCTTCTTGAAAGCATAAAATATTAATATATTTTTATGATTAGTCAAACACATTCAAATTAATATAAATACTGTCTAGATGCGCGAATTATTCTACAACATTAATTTAACTGTGAAATTCTACATTAAAGTTGTATTTTTTCTTTTTACGGAATTTTCTAATCGACATGGTTCAGGATATTTTAGGAATACTATGTTAAGACTTATATATAATAATTATGTTTAATACATGTAAACATGTTACATGCGTGCATATGTTTTACTTTGACTTAATGTTCTGACATTTCTCTGAACGATATTTACTACAATAAATGTCCAAAGCAAACACAAACAGTATAAAGACTGGCCAGGGTGTCAACTATTGCAGTCTGACCAGACAACAAACTGTCGGCCGCTCAATATTCATATATTGTTTGTGAAATATGTATGGAATAATAGACTTTAGAAAAGCAATGACGTTATTTCCAGCAACATCTGATCCATGCATAGAAGTACACCGAACAAGCATACGTAAGTAAACATGTATATTCATTTTCTAAACACTGTCAGCAATCATAAAATTCTGAAACCGAACAGTACTGCAATGTGATAAATTAACTCATGATTTATTCTCCAGAGAAGAAAATACAGTATATCGGAATGCCATGAGCATTCAATTTTTTTTTTTATATTTAGCTCTTTAATGCTTATCCGTTTTTTAATTTTGGATTAAGAATTTTGTTTAACCATAACTGAAAGAGTTAGCGTATGCACTTGCTGTATGTATATCTCATCTAAATATTTCATATCTTAAGAAACGAAGAAAAAGACATATATTATAAGAATGAATGCATTATTTTTATATGTACTCGTTATTTCCCTTTACTCATATAATCATGCCTTATAAGAAGTTTTTCTATGAAAAATCTCCTGTCATCGGATCACAATTGTAACGACTATCTTTCTCTCTAGACGAGCAACAGCAAAACTAATCAGAACTATTTTCCATTGTTAGCTTTGTCAGGGGGCTAATGCAGTTAAAATGACGCTAGAAAACTAGTCCTATTCACTTCTGTCTAGCAATTTAACTTCTTGTCAATCATTGGCCACTTCAAAATATCAATTAAGGTCTCCGTTATCCCGACGGAATAGAAATGGTCATTTTTTGGAGAAATTGTCAAGCGAATTATTTGTTGTTGTAGAGGATATCACAAATGATTACCATTGGTCATGTAAACATGATATAACTAAAACCAAGACGTAACGCATTTTTGTCATTTATTACATCAAAATGAATATCCGATGAATAGTTTTATGAAATTCTCTAAATACTTAAAAATATAACTCTAGAAAAGACAACGAGTTCTGATTTAGTTCAATGCACCAAAAAGACATTGCTTAAGATCAAATATCACTTGAATGTCTTAATCAAAGTAAGTTTAGGTATAAATTAAAGTGTTTAGTTTTATCTAATATCAGAATTTCAGAAACGTATTTTATTTTTGTTTTGTAATTTCTAAACATTTACAAACTATCACAGGTTTTCATTTCATCTTAATACTAACAATTTAGCAATGGTATTAGGCGTATTACAACACTGGATTTTAAAATGTGTTAAGTTAATGTAAACTATTTTCTTAGTAAATGCATACTAACAAATAAAACACATCACATTAGTGTACTGTCTTTTACAATCCTGCAATATTTGTTGAACACATGTGTGCAAGGGATTTTTGACGTTAATTTCTAGTTTATAAAAAAAAGTAATTTAATTTTGTTTCCCAAAAAGGTGAATTAAAAACAATTTTGATTATTTGGGTTCTTTTTCATGGCTCTAAACAAACCATTGAAAGGTTATAAAGAATAGGAGAAGTATATTTGCACGTTTTCTTAATTTCATTAAACAATTATCCCATTTCGTCAGTAGGAAAATTGTTTTCTTTGGAATGCTTTTATTTCTTTTACGTAAGAAAAGTTTCGCATTTAAACTATATCAGTTTCATTTGATAAGCATATATCAATTAATTCATTCCTTACCTAAACATACATGTTGTTATTTTAAAATGACATTTACCGTCTAAAGATATTGCATCTGTATGGATAATAATTTTCCTGTTAAGTCAAAAGATAAGCGGGCTTAACAGTTAAAATCACTGACAAATTATATAAAGCTGACGATTTTCGCTCATGTTGTTTTGTGCGCGGACCGTGGATAATTCTATTGAAATCCCTTAAATTATTTCATGTATCAAATTTCTTCTCGTTTAATCATTAAATCATTAAATATATGATATTGTGTTCAAAACATACAAATGCACCCAATCTGAGCGACCTAAGCAAAACAAAATTACCAAAACAAAATCACATTAAATGAATACTGTCTGTGCATTGAAAATTATTGTTTATTTTGATATTTAAATGATGACAGATTACCTTGAGTGAAATCGCTGTATTTTATTATAAGAAAGTGGAGGAATGATTGAAATCATTGCTAAACTTTCTGAGGATAACAATTTAATATTTTGTTCCTGAACTTTTTATATTCTTTTATGTACAATATTATTGTGTGTAATAACAGAGACATTTTATGTTTCAGATCTTTCAGAAAACAACCAAAAGAATATGAAAACAGCATAAATTTACTGTTTTACTTATTTATAAATTATTTAATCAGTTATACCTTGCAACTTAAACTGCCATGTTGTAAAATAGCTTAACAAAGCATTACTCCACTCAGATTAGCTCTCATGTGCGTAAAAGATACTACTGTTTTATTACTTTTTGAAGGACCATTAGGACTCGTATCATTAGTAACAACAAAATAGCACTTTATCTCGATAACCCCTTGAAGAATGCATTTAGCGATATACAAAAACATATCTTGTCGTTGTTTGCAATTATAATGCATGCATACAGTGCGATGATATTTACTATGCTTTCTAACTCATTACTTTAAACAATAATTCTTGGATTACAATATGCTTAGCTCATATTTATACGATTTCACTTGATAAAATAGATTAATTGATTTTGATTGCATCATCGTAGATAGGACACTTAATGACGCAGACAGAAGTCTAATAGATGAGTATAAATTATATTTTTTTGGGTTGAATATAATCTCTATTACAGATAAAGCGGAATATTTTTAAGGTTGACTGACCTTGATAAATTGTTGTCGTTAGTTATTATTATTTTAAGTTCGTAAAGACTGAACTAATACAAGCACAAAAATGATTGATTAAAGGTTTTGTTTATAATTTGTTCATCAACGTTGATGTTTATTTGTTGTGTTCGTTTAATTTTTAAAATGTGTATAAAGCTATATATTTACTGCTTATTGTTTACAAAATGTATTATAGCTTTAAAAAAGAAACAAAAATCCAAAATGCCTGTATGAAAGAACTATGTTAGCATATTTTATAAAGAGAGAATAGCACATTTACAATAAAGTTTGCTAAAGCTAAATGATTAAAACCCTATTTTAAACCACAACATATTACTTATTTTCCTGAGAATCAACCATTATACATGTATACTCGTAAAGAACGTCTTTTAATGGTAATTATAAAGCTCTTATATTGGTATAAACACTTATAGAAATAAATAAAACAAAAACTTTTAGATTGTCATCATATTTTACATAATACACACGATATGACTGTTGTTTAAAACTATATGAGTATCTCCATATTTCTATTCTAAGCACCAGTGACAAATTAGAATTATCACGATAAGAAGTAAATGTCTTGTTTAGAACATTTTCACAT